CCCACCACCCCACAGTCATGTGACCAGGTTTCTGGTGCTTGGCCATCTCTTCAGCCAAACCACGCCCATAGCAAACCATCGGCTTGCTTAATGACCCCAGCAAAACTGGTCATAAAATCAGATCGGACACCATTTTATAACCCTCACGACTTACAACCATGCTGGGAAGCCTCCATTACAGTCATAAGTCGAGGACTGCCTGTATAAAAGTTAAGTGGGAGGCAGGCTGCACAATTAGAAAAATAGCACAAGACAATGGTAGACGTGTGGAGGGAAGAAAGAAGGGTGTTTTGTTGTTTTTTCAGGAAAATGTTGCAGTTTGGGTGGGGGGGGGACAGCCTTGGCACATTTCCAGACCTTTGGCGCAAATGGTGTTTGCTAGTGTGAATTCGCAAAAACAGCATTTGTCGCCCCCCACCCCCAAATCCTTACACCAAACGATCATTCGCCTCAAAAGGGAATTTGCACAAACAAGGAAAGCCCTTAAAACAGTGGTTCTCAACCTGTGGGTCGGGACCCCATTTGGGGTCGATCGACCATTTCATGGGGGTCACCAAGCAAGGCTGTCTGCCATTTTTTTTGTCTGCCATTTTTTCCCCTTTTCCGGCGGGTGCCTTACCTCCCTTGGGCTGGGCCAGCTGGTGGTCGGCCTGCTCCGTCTCTGCCGCTTGCCAGCTATGCCTCGGCTGGCGCAGGGGGCGGAACCATGCATGCGCGGCGCCCCCAGGCAGGGAAAGTCCTCGACTTACGACTGGTTTAGTCCTCGACTTACGACCGGTTTAGTCTTCGACTTACGACCGGTTGGGGTCGCGGCATTAAAAAGGTTGAGAACCACTGCCTTAAAATGAATTAAACTGAGTCAAAATGTGCTGAGAAAGAGAAGCGGATGGGTTTTAAAAATCCACTTTTTCCTAGGAAACTTTCTGCAAGGATGGGAGATGCTGGGGCCTGAAAGGTTTGCAAACACACACACAAACACGAGTTTTCAGAAGCGGTCCCAGAAGAGGCTGACCGGAAACTGCCATGTCCTCTAATCCAAAAAAAGGAGGGGGGGGGTTTCGAGCAGCTGGAAGACCCCCCGCCCGTCGTATCTCGACATCCAGACAAGCGGGTGAGCCGCCACACCCCTCCTTTCGCTTTATCCGTGCTTGCGCGGGCCGCCACTAGAGGGCGCGATTACTTCATTTTCGCGGGGCGAGCCCTCCGCGCAGCCGGCTCCCTTGCGCAAATCTTTTAAGGCTGCGGCGCTTCCCCCTTTTTCCAAGGGCGTGGGTGCAACCCGCAGCCTTCCTTTTCCCGCAAAGGGGATCCTTTGGGACTCGACTGCAAGGAAAGCCCGCTGCTTTTCCAGCCAAAGCTCTCGCCGGGGAAAGGAATGCACCCACGCGTAACCAAACAAACAAAACAAACAAAAAATAAAATGCACACGCAGGGACGTTTGTTTGCGGGAAGGACGGGCCTGGGAACGAGCGTTCCGACGCGCGTTGAGCGGGGATGC